AGCCTTTACTGGAAAGGTACAGTGTTGGTTTTCTGTTGCCAGCATACAAGGGTTAGGTCTCAGTAGTCCCTATTTATTATTGCAAATGTTCTTTTCTTCTTGGCAGGAATATTCTCTTTTCTTTGTGTTACAAAAATGCATCCTAACAGATCACATCTACAAGCTGTGATTCAGCAGCCAAACTAAATAACAAACTACCCTAAGTCCAGCCCTGTTCTCCCTGAAAGCTGTGTGCTCACCTTGTTTCTTCCAGCTCTTTGGTTCTTGCAGGGCTCTTAGTGTTGTACTTCTAGACTGCGATTTCAGTACTGAGTTCAGAGACCAGACACCGAACTTCAGTTTTGTTTTCTTCCTCCTCTTCCAACTGCTCTTTCATCACCTCCAAATAATTCTTGGTATTAGCCAATCTCACCACAGCAACAGTACAGGACTTGAGGTAGATGAATAGTAAGGGCTGCACTGTTCTCCTGTTGGAAGTGTGGAGGCACTGACCTCACTCCCCCAAGCTGCAGTGCTCAGCTTGAGCAACTTAGTTCTGGACTAGCTAGAAACATTTCAGAATATCTTCCTGGGCAGGAGCCAAGTGTCTGCTCTCCTTACCTGTTTTGTTCTTGGCTTTTTTTTTTTTTTTTTTTTTTTGCTTTACTGCAGTGAATTGAATTGAGCTCATATAACTGAAAGCAGAACTTGGCTTGTCATCGTCACTGTTTTCTCTGAAAGCGTTTCAAAAGAATTACAACAGTAAACCCACTTTGTGATTGCTCTGAACATGGAGAATTCTTGCCAGGCTTTTGATATGCAGGTGCAGCACTAGGATTATTCTTTGGAGATAAGAAAAATTTCCAGGACAGACGTGTCAGACGGAGACATGAAATGCTGATACGTTTTGAGTCAGACATACGTGACCTATGCAAATAAACTGCAGCGCAATGCACTGAGCAGACAGTGGACTGAGAATGAAGAGGTGTGTGTTCTGCTCTTTGCTTCTGGCTCATGAGAGGATGTCTTATGTTCATATCCTCCATATGAATCTCATGATGCTCATGCCCTGTGCGCCCTTACCAAGATTAGCTGGTAACAAGCCCAGAGATTTGGACGAGGAAAACTTCCCTTGTGAGAGCTGAAACAATAAAAGATTTGTTGAAGTGGACAGTGAGCAAAGAGCAGGCAGAGCACATCCTACTGCAGCAGCAAGCTGCGAAGGTGGTTGGTGGTCCCCAGTGCCCTTAACTTTTCATCTACTTGCCTCTTGGGGTCATATGCCCGAGAGAGCCTCATGTGGACAACCTAATTAATCTACATCTACACTGTGCTCTGTGCTTGGCTGGCTGTTTTCAGCTGCAGGAAAAAGAAGTGCACAGAGAGGCAGGAGAGGAACGAATTCCACCTGATTGAAGAAAGAAAAGAGAAGGCTGGAAGGACTGGGCAGTTTTGGTAGAGGAGGCAGAGCTGCCAGAGTTCTGTGAAACACAGGGGGAGAGGAGGATCAGAGGGCTGGTAATGCTGCACGCAGCTATCAAGGAATTTACCTTGGAGCCTGATGGCATTAATTTCAGCTTGGCTTTTCTCCACCTCAGCCAGCTGGGCTTTGGCTTCAGACAGGTTATCTTCCAGCTTGTGAACATAAGAACTGAGTTCAACCGTTAGAATGGTTAGTCATATGATGCTGAGTAAAGCTTGAAGCGCCACAATATCCTCCCTCCCCTGCAAACTCAGTTTATTCCCGTTGGTTGTAGTTATAATGAGATGACTGTAGTAGGCAGGGAGAGTGCAAACTGTTCTGATCTGTAGAGAGGGGAGATGCCTGTTTCATTAGCTACTGTGGGCAGTGTTTGGCATCAGCCTGCAAATGGCTGCTTTGTGCTATCAGCTGGCTCACATCTGCCTTGTGCTGTGGATCTTGGAGGTGCTTTATAAGAGAGGTTTCTGCAAGGCTTTTATTTAGGCTTCATAGGCTCTTTATCTGACTCAGATCCATCTTTGGTGCTACTCTGCTCCAGGGTTAGTATCTTTCAGAGCAGTTAACCGTCTCCACACCTCATTGCTAAAGCTCACAGTTGTTCTTTGGACTGCAGATCGTGTATTTCCCTTGCAAAACAGCAGAAAACAGACTGAACAGTTCTGCTTTATTTTTTTTTTATCGCGTGTGTCTGAATTGGCAGCTTTCTAACAAACCTCTGATCAACTTCTGCTCAACCCTAGAGGAATGGCAAAGCTCACATTCATGGAGCCTTGTGGGTTTTGTGTTTTTGTTGGTTTGGTTCGTTGTTTTTTGGTGTGTTTTTTTTTTTTTAACTCCTTCCAAGGTCCACAGTGTGAGGGGAAGGTTGGATCAGGTCTGCCCTGCTTAGGAGCCTAGAGAAGCTGCTGAGTCCCACTGATGTCTCATTCTCTGGAGAAAGAAAGAAGATGTTCAGGTGCAGCTGAAGGTATCTGAGCTGGGTGCAGCTGTTGTAACACCACGTGTCTTTCCAGGGAGTCAAGATCCATAAGATCACAAGGCAGATCCCTTCCTTGGTTCTCCACCTAGTGGGAAAGAGAGAAAGAAATGCTTATTCCCTGTGAGGAGCCCCTGAGTGCTTTAAGGAGCACTGCTACTTTTTGTCACCCTATACCTATATACCCTATATACCTGTCTGTATGAGGTGCCTAACACTGACCTATCTCCTGATGTGCTTGAGAATTGACCAGCTAGCATTTGTAGAGAGAATTGAAATGGAAGTGTTAGTTATTATTAAACCATATCAGTCATTAGATTGCGTTCAGAGCATTCTATTAAAATATTAATTTTTTGGAACTAAATTATCTTCAGGACTTTCCATTGTTAATAGATCAGATTATATATTTAATATCCACATCCTGGCAACTTGCAGGAGATTTATTGGACTAGATCTCTCTACCACCTTAGAACTGTACAAGTAGGTGGGTGGCTTGATGGGTGAAACACAGAGGGCTGCCAGCTCTCACCAGCCTGTTGCACCCTGGCTCTCATAGGACTGCCCCATCAGTAAGTGGCTGCTTCTGAGCTTCCTACGAAAGGAGCAGTGCTCCCAGTTTGTAGCACTAAGTTTGCCTACCTTACAACTCTTCCATGGGGAATTTTGTTTTTCATTAGTAGTTTAACGTCTTCAGGTCTTTTCAGAAGTAAAATCACTCCCCAGAGAAGCTCTTTCTTTCTTAGAAAGGCACTGTTATCTGTGCTCTTATGGCATTCCTAGCTTCTATATCTCCTTCCAGCCCTTCAGTATAAGGGCCTGGAGGGTGCACCACAAACACAGCAGTGTCTATGACTAAGAGATGCAAGATAAACTTGCGTGGATACAAACGACTCTCTATTTCTTCACTCCCTCCTACGTGCTTGCCAGGTCTACAGGATTATTTTTTCCTGGGAAAGGGCTACAGCTGGGAATCCTTAGCCAAGGAAACAGGAAAGGTGTGGCCATGTGTCTCAGTAGACAACTGGTATTATGTGCAGCATCAGTAGCTTGCTCTGTTGTGTTGGAATCTGGCAGTTGGGGAAATAATGAAGCTGATCTGGTTATTTGAGGGAAATAGGTGCTTGTTCATAGAAACGACTGCAGACCCAGGTTTGTGGGTCACGTTGTTGTTGTTGTAGAAATACTGAGGTTTTGATTAAGTATTTGGGCACTGAAATATGCCAGCTGAAAAACATTTGAATTCAGAATGGCAGCACTTGTGAGCTGTGTTCCCATTTTTTGCTTTATTTACCACCTTTCCTTCCATGGTGAGTGGATCAGTACCTTGCAGGAGCTGCTATGGGGGGGGGAAAAAGGCCAAGTTCTATGCAGGGAAAGACAAATCCCATATCTCAACTCGTTCTGTTGCTTAAAAGTGTAAAGAGCGATTGGCTCCAGAATCCATTTTAACAAGGTAGGTTTAAAAGGTCTGTGTTGTTCTTCTATGCACCTCAATCTTATCAAAAAGATAAAACTGCATGAGCAGGCTGCTGTGGGTTAAGAAAAGGTAGGACATTACCTCACGTGAGCTAAGCCAAATAAGTGTTACCTCTCTGTAGCAAACAGGTTCATCTTTGTCCTGTCTCTGGCCCTAAAATCCATTTGCCCTTTGTCAGAGCTCTTTGTTGCCCCATCATCAGCTTGTCTGTAAGCAGAGGTGCAGGCACCCCAAGGAGCTGCATGGTCTGAAGACAAACATCAGCACTTAATGGTTTTTTTCCATCTATGTTTAAGACTTCCAATGGCTCTGCTCTGAAGCATAGGTAACCTGTACTCACTAAAAGCTTTCTGTTAGGATTTGTGTTAGCAAATCATGCCAGTATTTATTCATGGTTTTACATGTTGTATTAGGCAAGTAGGTAGATCAGCAGTTTGGATAATATAGAGCTGTAAATATGTATTCTGCAAAGCTTATTTCTATGGGGAGGTTTGTCAGAAGTGCTGGCAGACCCATCACAAAAGCAATTGATGATGACACTAAAATAAATTTAATTTGTGATAATATTCTGCATTTCTAAAGCAGCTTTTATCTGAGGATCATAAGACCTTACATAAACACAGAATCAGTTAATCCTCATAACTTCCCAGTGATTATACACACTTTATACGTGGGTGACTGTGGAAGATGAGTTACAAATATCAGACAATGAGTCAGAGAAAAACTTAGGAACAGAACCATGTATTTCTGATTTGGTTTACCTGAGCAGCTGAACTGTACTTCTGCTCATCATTGTGTTACTACTGACAAGACCAAGGTCTGACTGTGGATTTTCCTTTGTGACTTTTTAGTTTAGCAACTGTACAGGTGTAGCTAATGCTGTCAGAGCTATGATGTAGCACAACTGCTCTCGGTAGGATTCTGTACCCTGGAGAATTCCCTTAACATTGCCGCTTCTTTGCAGTGTCTTCCAAAATCAGTTTGGCTCATTCCATCTCATGGAGGTCATCGATTGTAATTTTGGGGTCATCTCTGCTTTATGACAACACTTCTCTGCCTTACCATGGATGTTTTCTCATTCCCAGTTACCCTCCAGCTAACTGAAAAACATGGAATCGATGTTATCAATGTTATCAATAACTCTGAAGCACACAAATCAGCAGTGGGTGTCAGAAGGGCCCAAGGTTTCAAAAGCAGACTGCATGGGACCATCGAAGAAACAGTCAATTGGAGATACACCTCATGTGTGGTAAGTTTGCTGCTGTTCTTGGCAGTGTGGTTTACAACCTTTTTCTTCCCTTGCAGTTTTCTAGGAGGGGAGATACCAAGGCTGGTGCATAGAAGTGGATAAGAAACTAACACTGTCCTGGTATTAAACTGAAAATGAATAGAAAAATACATTCATCTGAGGTGCTTCCTGAAAGCAACATGAGCTTTGAATGTGCATTTTCAATAGACCTGAAGGGACTCGGTCCAACACTGACTGTTTCAGAAGGATCTAGCTCACTCTCAGCAATTCACATAGCTCTTTGGGCAGTGGTACAAATTGGCAGCACTTCACTGTGCTGCCATAAGTTAATACCTAGAAAAACACAGCCGCCTTCCTGTTTGTGGAGCAAACTGTAGTCTCACAGTATCTAAGCAAGCAGACAATGATTTTTTTTTTTTCTTTCTCCCAGACTGGGAGAATGGGAGAGAGCAAAGAAAAATGGACTAGTTATTTCTGCCTGATGAACTTCCTCCAAAGCCCTCTTTTCCTTTTGGAGTTGTGTGACTGAGTCATTCTGAGCAGAGAGATCTGAAGTCAGAGTTTGAACTCTGGTCTAATGCCTGCAGACAGGAAGGCAAACATCACACAAGTTCTATGGATCACACAACCAGTTTGCAGCATCGGGACAAAATGTCAGTGGAAACTTCTATTACTTTAGAAAGAATCTGAGATTCAGTTAATGAATTCTAAAATTTGTGACATCTGTGAATTTAACATCCTGTGGATGTTAACACTGACTTTAGAAAAAGCAGCAGGCAGCCACGTGGCTGCTACAGTGCAGATTTAAAACTTCTCTACTTATGTTAAATAAAAACCTGCTTAGGTGCAGAAGAGGGAGAAGTATTCCTCAGAGCTAGATGGAGAGGAGTTATGTAGCTGTAGAGGGGCATTTTGTAAGTAGACCTATCAGTATTGCTATGTAGAAGTGGGTATAATTAATAAAGAACGTAGAGGTGTTGCTGTCTTTATGTAGAGGGATGCCTAGAAATTACTGTGAAATTAATACTATTGCCAGGGTAAAAAAGAAAAAAAAAAAAAGTGAAGCATCGAATTAAATCCACCTCAGGTTGTATTAAATATTGGAAAACAATATCAAAAAGTGGAGAAGTGAACTGAGTGAATCTGAGCATCCCAAAGGCTGCTCTGACAGGAGGAGCTGTAATGGTTGTCACGGCTCTTTTCCTCGGAGAGCGAGTAAGAAAGAACTTCTGTCGTGCCTCACATCTGCTTTGCTTTCTCAGTTTTAGGCAAAGGAGGTTTCCAGTCCTTTCAAGCAGAATTTCAAGTTGCTGAGCTCGTCCTCCAACCAGCACCACTTGGTACAACTCAGGGCAGCACTTCCATACCAGGTCCGGCTCAGTAGAACAGTCCATCCTTGATCTCATCATTTGGCCCAGGCACACCTCAGCACCCAGCAACTTCTCTCATTCCTACTGAAGAGATGGGAATCCAGTGTTCATCCTGCAAACCCTGCTACACCTTCTGCCTCTGGGAGCAGCAAGCCTCCATTTGCAAGAAGTGCGTTTGCTGCTTTTGTGGAATTTATTAAAGATTTCTTTAATTAAAACTGTTGTTGTAATTGATCTGAATCTCCAGACCGCAGCCTCCCAGTGTTAAGCACAAAACGGTGAGTTTTGTTTAGATACACATACATGCATCTCCTTCCATAAGAGCTCATTCTTCAAAAAGTTGACAGCTGATTTGCGTTGGTTGTAGCTGGGCATCAGTGGTTGATCAGAAAGAGAACTCAGCACTCATGAGAGCAGCTCTGCTTCTTTAGCTATGGAGCCTCCTATTCTCCTGTGTTCTAAGAACTTAACTGTGTTTAAGGTAGTCAGGCTGCCTGTGAGTCTTATGCATCATCCCCATATGTTCTTTTCTCATTCCAAATGAGGCTCTTATGAAACCTGATGCTCTGCCTAACTCAATGCTGAGCCTTCAACCATCCGCCGTTGGTAGCTGTCAGCATGCAGCTGGATGGTGAGGTCATTTTCCTGGGTGAGGATAGCTGTCATCTCCTCTGCTCTTTGATGTGTTCTTTGCACCCCCGAGTCTGTGGCACGATGTTACTTAGCTCTTTAATTACAATTCTTTTCTGCTGGGCCACATTCAGCAAAGATTTCACCTGGAAGTAAGGAGTTCAAGCAGTGAGGTTCCTAAAACAAGCTTTTCCTGCTGTGATGCTCCACAAAAGCTGAAGGTGCTCCTTTTCTTACCAGATTCTAATATTTTTTTGCACACCAGTGAGTATTGTTGTGGCATTTCCTGAAATGCCTCTTTAGAACAGAGGATTTCATATCTATAGTGTGAGTCAAGAACTGGAAAAGGTTATTTTGGTGCATCGTAGCAGATCTGAGTGCCAGCGTGGAAACTGGGACTGTATTCCAGATTCTGAACTGATATAGATGTAGCATCGTTCTTAGAACATTCCAGATTCAGAGGGTTCTGCTCCTATTTGAGCCAGCATGAAAATCCTTCTAAGGTATGGGAGTTCATTTGGTTTGCTCTGGAGCTGGAAAGATGTGTCCTCAGCTAAAAAGGCAGATTCTCTTTAACCTGTATGTGGAAAATTGCCTTTATCATAAATTTATTTAAACTTGAGCCTCTTGGTCAACGCTTTCTTTCCTCTCAGCAGAAATCCATCTCAGTTACTCATCCTGGGTTTAAGTGAAGAGAGTCAGAGCTGAAACTGCTCCTTCGTACTGACAGTGTGGATCTGCCCAATACAAGTGAACCAATAGCTCTGTTTCAGCTTTTAAAAGTTAATGAATAGCATAGGGTTGTATTCCCATGCTCACAACCTCACCATCTCTCTCTGTGCTGTTTTTAGAAGTGGGAAGTCCAGCTCTTGAATTTCTAAGATGTTCTTTTTCCGCTCCCCAAAGCTCAGATCTCAGGGCTTTCTCCATTTACTAATTTATTTATTTTTGCATTGATTTGGAGAGAAATCATCCAGCCCTCCTGCCCTATTAACAATTCACAAGGAATCCGCTGTCTGCCAATGTCTTTACTCAAGTGATGGTGGCTGTTGGTTTTCTCCCAGTGCTCATCTTCCCTACCCAGAAATCCCAAGGTTCTCACTGTCTGTATTTGCCACTGTTTAATTCTGCAGAACCAAACAACCTGAGATATTTGCCTCACCTTACTGCACAATTTCCACCTGCCTCAGAAATGCAGCTGCAGAAACTTCTGGACATTCCAGAACATGGATGCCTTACAAACAGCTCTGTTTCCAGGCAGTGTGTGTAGGGGAGCTCCGTGTCCATCCCTAATCAGGCACAACAGCTCGCTGGAATCAGTGTAGTCTAAACAAAAGGGAGCTGGCTCTGATGTCCCTCTGTTCTTTGGCCATGCAGGAGTTGCTGCAGTTTGTGGACACGGGGGAAGGGATGACAGAACTGAAGCTGTTTTAAAAAGTGCTGCTGTGAATGTGGAAATGGAGATTTTCATGCACTGGAAGAAGCAGCTACTGCTGATAAAGAGGAAACTGATGGAAAAGTTGGTTTTTTGCACCCCACTGTCAGGCTGCAGCATTGTTCTGCTGCAGGGACCCATGGTGTGAAAGCAGGGAGGATTCGTGCCTTGCTATTTACTGGAATGGAGAACTGGGAAGTCCCGGTTTCATTTCATGGTTCTTGCTAGTAAATGAATGCCAGGAGTGCTTGGTCTGTAATACTGCTGTAGTTTACAGAATGGCTCTGATTTATTCCACAGGAATGCCTTCTTTCCAGCATCCTTTTTCGCCTCAGCGCTCATCAGGAAACCATAGGAATGACATGCAGTGTGGCCATGACTTTTTCCTGGGGATCATCTCTTGTGTCCTTCAGCAAGGCCAGCCTACCAGCACAGAACATTGCCTTGGCTGACAGCACTCTGCACACATTTACAAACAGGATACATTTTGGGGAGGATAAAGAAGCGTATAAACAGGAGGGAGAATGGCTGTTCACAAGGGTGGATGGTGATAGGACAAGGGGGAATGGTTTTAAGCTGAGACAGGGAAGGTTTAGGTTGGATGTTAGGAGGAAGTTTTTCAGCCAGAGGGTGGTGAGGCACTGGAACAGGTTGCCCAAGGAGGCTGTGGATGCCCCATCCCTGCAGGCATTCAAAGCCAGGCTGGATGTGGCTCTGGGCAGCCTGGGCTGCTGGTTGGCGACCTGCACACAGCAGGGGGTTGGGACTGGATGAGCATTGTGCTCCTTTTCAACCCAGGCCATGCTATGATTCTATGATTCTATGATTCTATGATTCTATGATTTAGGAGTTGGATTGGGCCTTTTTCTGTGCCCAAACTTTCTAGCTATGAAAAAATATCGATGGCTAGATGATAAGAGCAAGCCAGCATCCAGCAAAGCAGGACTGGTAACCTTCTTGGTGATGAAACCCAAACACACCTTGTGCTCTCCTGTGGCAGGAAAAATGCTGGATTCAGTAGCGATGGGAAAAAAGCAACCTGGTGGCTGCTTAAGAATAAGATGAGGGTTTGTCTGTCCCACTTTAATCTCAATTTGTAAGTTAAAAGTTAGGGATGAAGCAGACTGAAGGGGTGATGGATATTGCATAATTATTGTAGAACATAGGAAATGCAGATTTCAGGTCCTTGCAAAGAGCAGGATGCTTCCCTTGCTGGCTGTTGCAATAGATATTCTCATTATGTTGTGACAAAAGCATATGTGCAAATTAGTGATATATGCTGCTAACATCAGACAGCTCCAGCAATCTCTCCCCATTTTCTTTTCCAGTCTTAAATTGGATCAGTGATTGGTTAGTGGGATTTTTGCCTGGCTAAGGAATAGGAAAGAGCAAGTGAGATTTATCACATAGCTCAAGGTGCACTTCATTTGCACTGTATTAGCTGTACTGTCTGATTAAAAGCCAGGGTTGGGAACACGTGTAAGAGAGAGCATCATATGCATGAGGAAGCGGGTTGCTGTAGAAACTCTTAACTCGGCAGCTCTGCACCAAAGACGTGCTGAATCATAACTGCCAGCAATTTGCTTGGCTCTGTCTGGTAGGAGTGAATGGTGTCATGTCCTGTCCTGTGCTCCTTTTGCCCTGGGTCAGCAGAGCCAAGCAGCAGCCCTGATGGCTTTTACTGCACACTGACCCCACAGGGGTTATGCAGGGATTCAATCTCTGGCATCTAAAGTGAGAACCAGGGGTACAAAGATGAAGGAGCAGCAGTTAGCAGCAGCCCAGAGGGGCGTTTTGGGTCTCACAGGCACCCAAGGGTGTTTGCAGTGATGCCAGTGACATCAGGTGGCAAAGTTTCGATCAGAGCACAGCACCCTTCAATCAGTTCTGTACTGCTGAGCTCGGGCAGCAGCACCAGCCAGCCTGGGGGCTGAGGGAAGCCGGGCAGGCAGAGCTGCTGCTGGGTGTGGGACACTGGGGGCAGGGTGCATGCAAAGGATGGGTGGTTGCTCACCCTGCACGAGTTGAAGGCGGTCACAAGGAGGACTCCCATCTCTTGCTGCCAGCAGCTAAAATCAATTCCATTGCACGGAAGATGTGAGGGAGGCTCCTGAAGAGGAGTCACACTGCAGCCGTGTGCTGCGCCCTCCAACATCAATCTGTCTTATTGGACTTATGGTAGCAGCTCGGTCCTGCCCAGACAAACTGCTCAGCAAATAAAAGCCATGCATCGTTTCACCTGCATCCTGCTTGGAATCTGAGGTTGGTTGGTTGTTAGGGAATTCTCAAAGCGGAATTGAACTCACTCCTTGGAAAACAGAACAGGAGAGAAGAGCAGCTGCGTTCACAGCAGTGTGTTGGCACACACAGGTTTTTGTGCTGAGCCCACCTCCTTGCTGGGAAGCTGGTGCTGCTTTCTGCATTTCGAACGGGCCGAGATGGAGTTGTGCAAAGTAGGAATGGGATCTGACTTCATCTCTTTGATAGCTTTCTCCTACACTGTTTCCTATTCACCTTCCAACCACAGAGCCCTGAGTTGAGCTGGTGGCAATCCTCATAAGCAGTAAGTTTTTTTCCGGCTGGTGGAAAGCTGATGTTTTTCTGAGCAGCAGAAGGGCACTGACTGCCAGGGGTGATGCAGCTTGTTGCTAAGCCAGGGTGGCACTCGTGCTCCCATCTGTGCACACAGGTCTCTGCAGCAGCACTTGGTGGTGCCTTCGCTGAGCCAAGCGACCGGCGTGCCTTCCTTCGTGCTGGAGGAGCACGTTTGCAAGGACAGGGCTGGAAGCACACACACAGGCTGAGAGCTGGGCATGGGCAGCATCACACTGACAGCCTCACACCTTGGGACCTTTGCCCCAGGAGAGAGAAGGAATGTCACAAGATTCTGTTTTTAGGCTCAGGCTTTGGTACTCTGACATGGAGCAACGTGGTTTATAAGCTGTGCAACCAAGTGCAATCAGGACGTGTGTCGGCATAACAACACTTTCCAAAACCTGCTTGGAAGCAAAGGGAGAAAATAGCTGCTAAGTGTAAAAAAAGACAGAGCAAAGGGCCACGATCCACGCTCTGATCACGCTCTGTCTGTGTGTCTGTGCAGTGGAGTGGTGTGAATAGCTGGTGGAGATTGATAATATGCTTAAATG